ACCACGCTGGGTTCCTATGTTTTGGGGTAATGTTTTAAGGGGAAATTTGGGGAGGAGGGTGTGTTTTTCTTCGTTTCAACCAGCCAAGGGTTTCCCCAAGGAGAACGACAAATTTGCGTTGGGTACATTATTCATCCTGTTTAGCACCAAGTGTAGAAGTTCCTGGAATGGCACCACGAAATCAATTGGCTATGTAGTGGTTGACAAACGAAGGAACCGCAGAAGCCGGCAATTGTTAAAGTTCTTATCTGTCGGATGCGAAGAGCTTGTGCGGAGCAGGAACGCGGCCCCGGAACAATGCGCAGATAGCCTCCCAAGTGGTAATTGTTGTCTTACGACCATGACTTAATTTGGACTTAAAGTGCCCCAACATCCCAGTTTCATGAACTGGGGATTTTTCCTTTTGGTGATTTCCTTTAGATTCCCTTGAACTACCAACCAGAAGGTGAACACCGTGTTCAGAAACGGTTATCAAAGTCACCAGCTGGGGTTGTTGCCGCCTACCACTTAACGCCCAACATTCATCAAGACCTTTGTGGCTCGCTACCTAGTTTCATGGGGTTATTGTAAGACCTATCTAATCCTATATGAGCGTCAATTATTTCTCGGCGCTGCTCAACTGGGAGACAAAGCCAAAACGGGCGTGGACCAAGATGCAGGGCCCTTTGGTTGTTTCTTTCCAAAGGCCCCGACAAGGAGTACCCACCCAGAGACAGCCGCCTTCCAGGCATCATTTGTCCTTATATAAGGAAGTCATGTTGTAGCCAGCATGAGATATGTTCCTCAATGGTTGGCCAACCTCCAAATGGGCGTTGTCCCTTGGTTTCTTTTTGATTTCCCTTGCAACCAACAAGGAACACCAAGCCATCAAACCGACCACGGCTCGCTTCTCGTGTCCAGAAGCTCCCAAGGTCCAAGGAACTCAGAGCACGGAATGGCCCGTTGGGTTTTTTGTTGCTTCTTTGGTTGGGTGGGTGAACACCAATGGGTCAACACCAATGAGATCTTTTTTGTTGAGGGCAGCCTCAAAATTCAAGTGCATTTTTTGTCTTTTTTGTTGAGGGTAGCCTCAAAATTCAAGTGCCTGTGGGTCAACACTGAGATCTCATTTTGGGGTATGCGGTATGTGCACCACCCATTTTAGGCTGTACTTTAGGGGGGATTGGGATGCTCACTGCGGAATGGACCTGTCGACAGGTCCCTGTTGTTTTTGTGCGGTTGGTTTTGGGTGGTTTTAGGTGTGCAGGGGGTGAGAATACGGGTCGGGCATTCACATGGACGTTCATTCACATGGACGTGCCACGCAAACGAGCAATGGTCAATATTTACTGTCAACTACAGTAGCAACGGGATGACATGGGGTACTCTCACCAAACTAGCATGGGACATGAGGCTTACTCACCAAGATCTCATGTCAGTTGAGCACACTGACCGCACATTGGCTGGGAATCCGCTCGAGACGCCAGGATCAGCGACTTGAAGCTGGCTGGAATCGACCGCATGGAGTTTTATGACATCGTGGAGTCCGAGTTTGACGAGGAAAGAGCCTGCCGGCCTCGTTTCGGTTCTGTCTCCGAGAGCGAAATTTCCACCTCCAAAGATGGTGCTTCCCTTTTTAAACAGCTCCACCAATAATATCCCATCAAAAGCAAGACATGGGTGGCTCCATTTTGGTATCCTGTTAAACGCGCCCCAAAAGGGTACCAAATCAAAAAGGTCATACCCAGTTTGAGAGGCACGGCGCGGGTCTTCCGTGCGATGTGCTTGGGCTCAGGTCCACTTCAACGCAGCCAAAGCCGTTGCAAATGGGTGGCAGCTGGAGAGCCTTGCACGAAAATCGGCCGGGCGAGCGAATAATTCTCTCTGTTTCTCCAGCCAGATTGGGCCGAAGCATGACTTGGCGGGGCTGGCAAAACATTCTCCGGTACTCTTCGGTTTCTCAATCGCCCGATGGGGGAGGACATGTCGGGCACCCAATTTTGCCGCAAACACACCGGGGGCCGGTTTGGGGAACAGGAACAACGCAAGCGCGGCGCTCAATGGATGTGAGGTGTGGCTTTTAGTTGGTACTCTTGCTCGGGTTGTTTTCGGAAATGCCCCCCGCACCTTTTGCGGCTTTTTCCGGTAGCCACTTGATATGGGGTGCTGCCAAACAGTGCTCACAGCTACGGATTTCCTCCGTTCTGTGTCCTGGATTTTGAGGTGCACTCGTTTTTCTGTGCACATGGCACACTCGTCGGGGCTTGTTGAAGCACCCAGGCCGGAGATTGGAGCTCGACTTCTGGCATCTTTGTGCCTGGGCATGGGTTGTTTTTGTAAAAGGGCGGAGCCCGGTTCTTGACTGCTATTGGCAATTGGGCAACGGATCAAACTGGACTGAACGACTTTTTGGTTGACATATTGGGTTGTTTTCCGTACTCAACCCCCAAAAGGTTGACACCCTTTTGCAGGGGGGGTCGTTGCAGCAACCAAGTGTTGGGATTGATCATTCCCAATCCCCAAGTTGACGCCCGCTTGAGCCGCAGCAAGCCGTTTCGCCCTTTCCTGTTTCTCTTCCGGAGAGATTGGGGCGCTGAAAATGCTGGAAGGGCCAACGCAAAAAGACCTCCGCTGTTTAAAGGGATTCTCGGATTTTCCCTTTCCTTTTCTTGCTGGTGCTCAGAAGGGAAAGAGAAATGGAATGTCCCTTATCAGCTATCCAACTGGTGGTGTGGAGTAAAGCGGACCCCCAGGTTCATTCCATTTCTCACTTCCAACTGAAAGGGAAAGCACCAGTTGGATAGTTTGTAAGGGTCAGTCCACTTCTGATTCCCTGCTGAGCCACAATCAAAACCCGGGTAGATGAAGGTTAGCAAGGGACAATCCCAACCTACATAGCTGCGGATCTCCGCCTTCTTAATTCTTGAAGCACTGGGAGTACGACCATTTTCATACCGGGTTTTCAGCAAGTGACTCCGATCGCCCCGTCCAGTCCTTTGGTGGAGACCCCCAAAAAACCCCACGCATCCCCCCGGCCCACGCGTCCCCCACGCGTCAACAGCCCGCGGCCGACACGGAGGCGCCTGGGCCCGGAGGACGTGCTGCTGGACCTGGGCTGCTCCACCGGCGCCTTCGCGCTGCTGGCGGCGCGCCTGGCGCCGGCGCCTCGGCGCTCGGCTCGGGCTTGGCTCGGCTCGGTGTGTGGCGGGCGGTTTCGGGGGAAACGATTTTTTGGATGGAAAAAACCCAAAAAGGGACCTCCGCTGAAAGTCGATTTTGTATTTTAAGAGTAAAAACAAAAGGCATGGCTCCCATTTTCCTTGGAGACACCGGGTGCCGTTTGAGAAGCAATGGAAGCCATTGGTCGATTTGGACTCGGTCGGCTGGCATTGAAGCCGGGCCTTTTGCTTGTTCCTTTGCCGCCAAGAAAGGAGGGGGAACACCCCCATGACTATTGAGGGGGGTGTTCCCCCCAGATTCATAAACCGGTTGGTTGATTCACATGACTGTGGGTCAAAACGCTGTACCCCTGGTGAACATCACAGTAGCTGGCAAATGGATGCTCATCCACCCCAAACTCGAGCCATAGGTTATGCCCCATGGCCATATGGTTCTCTATTTATGCCTTCCGGGTCACTGGGCAACTGGTTTGCATGGTCCAATGGAGAACAAAGAATGTTGTCATGGCTCACGTGGCTTTGGAATACCAACAAACAACGGTTTCCTATGGTGTCTTGGGTGGTGCGAATTGGATTTTGTCCATCCACGGTATGGGGTCAACCTTACCCTCCCGGACGTCGACTCGTCCTTTGGCGCCGATCGTGGCTTCGCCGCGGCGCCGTGACGTCCGTCCGTCACTCCGCCAGCACGAGGTGCGGGAGGTGCTGGGCGTGGAGCTCTCGGCCGCGCGCTGCGCGGAGGCGCGGAGGGCGGCGGCGCGGCTGCGGGCGGTGGAGCCGAAGGCGGCCAAGGCGCGGGGCGTTGTGCGGGTGGGTGGGGTGGGGGGGTGGGGTGGGGTGGGGTGGGGAGGTAGGCGGGTGGGTGGGGGTCTGTTTGTAGGAGACCCGGTTTGAACATGCCCAACTTGTCAGCTTGCATAGGGCAATGTATATCCTAGAACTCTTTGTGCTGGAACCCATTGTTGCTGCCTGTTTTGCCTGGTCAGATGTGACGGGCAGATTGTGTTGCTTGTTTTTGAGACTCCTTCAGCCCTCATGGTGAAGTCAACAAAGTTCAAGAAACCGCTTCAATTTTGCCATCTCAGAGAGGGAGGGTTGTTGACCTGGAGCTCATAGTAGATGTTGAGCATTGCTTGGCTTCCTGCAGTTGTCAATGGGGTATTTCTACCCACGAACCGTCACCACCTCTTACCCCCCCCCCCTCCCCCAAAGGCGGTTGCAACCACTTGAACTCGGACTGACACGGAGGTCAGCTTCTTGCAGGGAGACTTCAATGCGATCGGAGAGGACGAGATCGACGCAGCCGTGCAGCGCGCGACCGTTGCCTACTTTGCCAGTGACAGCGTCTTGAGCTCTGAGCTGGCTTCCACTTGCCCCAAATCCCCCAAGCCACCTTTAGGGGGTTCAACGGGATACACAGCCACTGCACATAGCGACAAGTAAAATATAAATATTTAGAAGCGGTGGCTGCATGCCTGCAGTGCTGCTCTGCGATTGCAGCTTTTTTTTCTTCATCCTTTTCGAGCTACCCTGAAGCTTTACCTCACAATCCGAAAGAAAGCCCGTTCTTGCCGCAGACTTGCTATGGTAAAGCGCTTTCTTGGCTTGCAAGTGCGCGCTCAGGTCTGGCTGCCTACAATCTGACCACCGGCGAAGCAGTTTGCAGGTGAATTGGTGGCAAAGAAAGATAAACAGGGAGAGAGAGAGAGAGAGAGATAAGAGAAGAGATAGGATAGAGAGAGATAGAGAGAGCGAAGAAGAGATAAGATAGAGAGAGAGAGAGAGAGAGCGAAGACGAGATAAGATAGAGAGAGAGAGAGAGAGGTAGAGGAAGAGATCAGAGAGAGTGCGCTGCCTGTAAGGCCCTTGGAGAGTGTTCCTGTGATCACGCGGCTTCGACCCGGAACTCGCTTTATCAGCAGCTTATCTGAACTCAAAGGCTGGATACGATACGTATACAAATCCATGGCCATCTATCTTCAGGCAAAGGGGCAACCACCCAACAAATTGGGGGGCTTCCCCACTCTGGATGGACGAAAAATCTGTTCGCACCACTTTGAAACCATGCTTGAAACCATAACGTTCAGTATTTTATGTTGGAAAATCGTATCAGACCCCCTTGGGTTTCTGAACAGTGCCGTTCGGATAATTTTAATTCCCACGGTGCTGCCGTTCAGAGGGTTTCGCCAACCCTCCACAGTAGTACCACCTTTTATGGGGGCAGACCGTGGTGAAGAATTCCCACGGCTTGCGCCTCCGACCCCCCGACCCCGGCGTCGCGGCTTAGGCTTGAGCGTCCTGGCGCCGGAGTTCGAGATGTGGATCCTTGGATCCGACTCCGGGGGTGAAGCGATGTAGAGCCATGCTTTGGGATCCTTTACTTTGGGATCCCACTCTGATTTTGGGTTTTTGAACATAATTTGCATGATTTGCAGATCAGATACAACATGTTCAATAGACCGGTTCCTTTATTTCCTTTATTTGGGGTTGGTGGGGATCTTCATTAGTCACTGGGGGACTTAGGCGTATTCCGATATATGACTATGGCCCAACTGCGACATGTTTGGCAAGAATATGTTTTAATTGTTTGTAATTAGGCGGGACACTATTTGCTAGCTCAGTCACAATGGAGTGATCGACAGCGATGCTAGTTCTGCGCAGCCTTCATTGTTGCAAGCCATGGACTGGTAGGGGCGACTCCTTTGTGATGAGCATTGAAGTCACTCGTGTCTCCAGCCAAACCAACATATTTCTCCTGCGAGGATTGGTTCCGCCGGGCCGCTGGTGGTTTCGGGCCTGTGACTCGTATGGGGTAACTGGGAACCAGCCCTAACCAAACCACCCATTTGGGGGGACGCTGAGTTCGTGCGACGAGGGCTTGTCGTTTGAGTAGCCGACCGAGGAATGAGGTTGAGCTTGTTGGAGGATTCCACTTGGGCAGCGCGTACTCAGCACCGACCTTAGTCCTTGAAAAGCTCTTTGAGCGCATGGCCAGGCGGCCCGCCGAGGTGCGCAAGCGCAGATGTCGCCTGGCGCTGGAATACACGGTGCTGGGAAGAGAATGATGCGGGGGACAAAACGGATTGGTGGGGAGGGCGGCCTGGTAGCACGCAAGGGAGTTGAAAGCCGCAGCCGAGAATATAAAGCCGGTCGTGAAATTCGACGCACTCACTCGTGGTCTGGAGGGAAGGAGGGCGGGTGAATCAATCGCAGCTGGCCATTGACCATATGCGCAGACTCACCCTCCAAATGGTGACTTGAAGGGACAGCCACCGAAATGTTGAGAACGGGTCCCTCAAGACGTTCTCTCTAAGGGCCGCAGCCAGCAAACCAAAAACCAGAAGGGCAAGTCGCTTCCTGCGCCAGGCAGCTGCGGATGTTCGAGCCGGAGGACAGCCTTGCAAAACGGGTGGCTGCTTTTTTCGGTCAACCCCCCTCCCCCCAAATTTATGATGCCGCACCTGGTTTCAGGCTGAAGGCCCTGGAGTTGGTTGCCTCTTTGAGTGGGCTTCTTCGACGTTCGAAGGTGGCCAGTGGGGGCCAGTGGAAATCTGTCAGAATCAGGTGCTACTGTGCCCTTGGGACTCCTCCGAAGGGTTGCTTTCCTTTGGCTCGTCACAAAGGCCACCTTTGAGAAAGGGGAGCTGGGAATTGAGTTGCCCCAAACTCCAAACGCGCACTTGGGCATGGCGAGGGTTTCTTTTCCTCTTGTTGAGTCCGCAATATCTACTATGGGGTTGCTTTGATGGACATCATTCAAGCGGGCATTCGTGTCCACCCAGCTTCGTTTGAGGTGGTTCCCTACTACATTTCGTCTTTGAATTGTGGCTTGAAACCACCCAAACAAGGGGCGCCAACCCAGGTTTGGTCTGCCCTCAGACACCCACATGAGTGACATGGTCAACAGCCCGGCTACCTACTTGGGCCAGGGATGGCCAGCCTCTTTTGTCGGGGTAGACAAATCATAAAGGTTCCTCTGACCTGACCTTCATCCGAGCCTTCCGAGTTCGACCAAACGGCACCTGGCGCGCTCCCCGCTTTTTGGGTGAGGCTGCTCCTTCTTTTGAGGCTGGTGGACCGGTGGCAAGGGCCAACCATGGGAAACGAGTCCCCAGCGCCCCACCCACCTCTGCGACCGGGAAACGTCGTGTGGAGGAGCTGGAGCCTGGCCGGGGCCCCGGATTTGATTTTTTCGGGTTTTTTGGGGGGAGAGATTGGCCGGATATGAATCTGGATTGGACATGGATCCAGTCGTGGAATCTGAATCGGACATGGATCCAGTCGGGGATTCATGTACCAGTCTGAATTGAGGGACCCAGTTGGGGATTCATGTCCAACCAGTTTTGATCACAGGGGAATTGGATGCCCCAGCAATGCTTCGTTGTCCTTTGGACTCCCTTTGCAAGGACCCACCCCCCAAAAAAAGTGACGCGCCCAGTTGAACCCAAAAGAACACATCCCGTTGAGCCCAAGCGAAGGGGTACTGGTCGCCGCCACTTTGCCCAGGCTTTCCGGCCCGGTGGGCCCCCGTGAGCGAGGCTGGCGCGGGTCAAAATCCTCCGCCGAAACCATGGGATGGGCCCGAGCTGCGGCCGGGGCCCGGCGGCCCGCAAGGTGCCGGCTTTCCAAGTGTCCGCAACTATCTCGAAATCATCGCGAAATTTCCTAGAGGAACTATACTGAAACTTGGCACATAAACAACCTTGTCGAAAGTTTCGGTATTTCCACCAGCCCTGCCAGCAATTCTGGGTGAGCTCCAAAAAAGGGTTCCTAATTTTGACCACCCCAACATGTGACGGTAGAACCTTGTCGTTTAGCACCTTCCAAGCTGCACCGGCCATTCTGACAAGAACCTACTTTGCCCTTTGCGACAGGAAGATCTTTGGTCGGGAGGCAGCGACTTGGATGGCGTCCTGCCTGCACCGGAGATGGCCACGTTTATAGGCTTCTATCATTGGGAGAAATTGGATGCTGGGATACCACACCTCGAATTTTCTTAGGTGCGCCTTGCTTACAAGACACAAGACTTGAGTGCAGGAACCAATCCAAGAGTTCGCCCCAGAAGAGATGGAATCTCTCTTAGATGCTCATCCTGCTTAGCGACTTGCAACGATGGTCACAACCTACTTTGTAGGTTGGTGGAACATTCATGCAGATCCTTTTGTCGTCGAGCTGTCGCAACTCCTGCGTCGGGAATGCTGAGGAATGGAACCGTCCTCACTGCGCTCATTTTTCGAGAAGCGCTGTCAAGACGTTGAGGATCAGGTGGAAAGAAGGCATGTGGGTGTTTCTTCTTCTTCTTTTTTTGGTGTCTTCGGATGGATATCCTTTTGCTTTGCTTTGCCCAACTTGCTGCTTAAGAAGTCCCGCGAACAATGCCAAGACTGAACACCATTGCCTTGTGTGCATCTGAAGGTCATCATTTCTTTGACACGTGGGCTTTTCTCCAACTACCCCAAACACAGACCGGCTTCCCTTGATGTCCTTTTGCTTTCCCCTTGAACAAAATCATCGGTTGAGCACCACACATCTGCAGTTGGAGTCAACATTCCCCAAGCCTGCGGCTTCCCGAATCAAGATCCTCCCGAAAGGAGCTTCTTCTGGCTACTGGGTGTGTCATTCTTTTTGTGGCGGACTTTGAACTGCAAAGGGTGACTATTATTATTATTATCATTATTATTATTTTATTATTATTGTTATTATTATTATTATTATTATTATTATTATTATTATTATTATTATTATTTATCATCATCATCATCATCATCATCATCATCATCATCATCATCATCATCGTCGTCATCGTCATCGTCATCATCGTCATCATCATCATCATCATCATCATCATCATCATCATCATCATCATCATCATCATCATCATCATCATCATCATCATCATCATCATCATCATCATTCATCATCATCATCATCACCACCATCATCACCACCACCATCATCATCATCATCATCATCATCATCATCATCATCATCATTTTTCCATATTTTTTCCTTGGTCCACCCCCAACATGCTCTAAACAAGCACTTCACGTCGAAGTGGGCGACTCCTTTCTGGCCAGCGGCGCTGGGCATCTTCGAAGCGCGCGCGCGCAAAACCGTGAGGCAGGCGGAGCTGGTCAGCGAGATGTCTTCGCTGATGCAGCGCAACGAGGCGTCGCTTGGCGTGGCCAGAACTCTGATCAGCATCAGGCCCAGAGTGGACAAATGGCTATGGCTCAATTTTTTTTGTGCCAAAATGGCACCAAAAGGTAAATGGAGCCAAAGACTGAAACCTGCGGTTGGCCCTGGCTCTGTAATTTTGAGCCACACCCAAATAAGCTCAGACCAGGACGAAACCAGGAAGCATCTCGAATCCCAAGGCAGGTGGCCCCAAAGCAAAAGCGACTCAGTTGTTCAATCCTTTTTCCCAACTTTTTGTTTGGGTGGCCGCCCCACTGGAAGTGGTCTTCCCCCCAAAAATGGTTCCCTTTTTTTCCAGGGTCACTGAAGAACTGAGGCAAAGAACATGGAGATCCCTCCTTGAAGCCAAGTCAAATCATGAGGGAGGCGTTTCCAGCGAGCTGAGGTTCCAATCTGTGATCCAATCTCAGGCGCGAAGCGACAGGGGGGGGGGGAGGGCACTTTGCTATGGGGCACTGCGCAATGGAGTGCCCCCAACCCCCCAAAAAGGGCCGTTGAAAATGGTGATACCTGATGCTTGGATTTTACACAACAGTTCAAAGCCCCCAACCAGTCCAGACCAATTTAAGGTAGCAGATCTCAGGTGTCAAACCGAGGTAAAGAGCCCCTGCGAACGGCAAGATGGCCTGCCTTGAGAGCGGGTCTGTTCAGATCCCCAGCGCTTGCCCCAATTGCGGCCCACACCGGCCTTGGGGCCAAACAATTCGCCGTTCAGTTTTTGGGACGTCAAGAGCCTGACCTCCCAGTGCAATGGAACAGCCTGGATGAATTGTAATTCGCCCATTCAAAAGGTGGGTTATGAAAAGAACCATCATTCATGGTGGAGGGTTGCAGTACCTACTGTGGAGCCCAGTTTGAAACCATGGTTGAAACCATAACGTTTGTTGGTATTTTCATTGGAATCGTATCATGCCAGGGTTTCTGAACGGTGGTGCGAAATGGATTTCGCAACCATCCGCAGTATTGACAGGGAAGCCAAAAGGAAACCGAGCAGCTTGGGGGACCCCGAATTGGAGAAACGGATTCTTTGAGGGTTGGCTTTTTTGTTTGGTTCAAAGAAAGCCGAAGAAGACCGAAGCATTTTGGGGCCCCCCAACGCTATTTTGATGTTCACCAGGGGTACAGGGGTTTGACCCACAGTCCTATGAATCAACCAACCG